GACATTTACGAAAATGTCAGTGAGTTTTCAGAGGAAGCAATAACGGGCGAGAGAGACCCATTATAGCAAGCATTTTTATTATGTCAATGTGTCTCCCATCCCTGTGTTACCGCCTTCAGAAGATTTGAGAGTTTCATTTTGCCGGGTAGGCCACTCTAATATGTCCTCAATCCACAGAGACTGAATAGATGATGTTGACTCAGGGATGATGAAAAGTGGCTCTGGCAAAACAAACTCTGAAATTTCTCCCAGGCGAAATGTGTTTAGATCAGCGTTCACTATGCTTAAATATGTTTTTATATGAAAACATAGTTGGCTGTGATCAATTGTGGGCTCGCATTGTCATTTGCATCACACTAGGATCTTCATCTCAGTCAGCTGCAACATCAGCTTTACCATGCTCAAACAACTAGGGCTGAAATAATCAGCGGATCAACAAAAACATTCATCTCCGGCTATTTTAATACATTTATAACTAAGATTTTACAGCCATGTTGGCAGCTCAGTGAGGCTGTACCTATGCACATTCATGGTGGCGCTACAGGACAAGTGGGGGATAACTAATTTGTCAGTAAGATTCATCTTCTCATGTCAATCCATCCCATAGTTATAGATGTTTCAATCTGGACCAAAGTGGTGGATCCAACTGTCAGACATTGCTAACCCTCAAAGCCACATCACTGCCAAATTTATATAATAATATCATCATATCATTTTAAACTGAATACATTGGAGTTTGAGGCAAATGGTTGGAAATAGAAAGCATTTGAAGACGTCACCTTGGGCACTTGGAAACTGCTCAAAGGGTATTACACTTAATGGACAATCCTTGTTGCAGCACATCATTTTATTTTCATTAGCATTCCTTTTTGCCTCCCCTTTAACATACAGATGAGCTGGTGGTTGTTGTGGTTAGCCCCTCAGGCTCAGAAAAATTAGCTGGTCTCATTGAAAATGTTTGACCATTGTCCCTGTCTCTCCTCTGGAAGAATGTTCTCCATGGCTTTATGACTACACTTGTTTTGACGTTGGTGTTTCCTTTTAATTACTTTAATTGGAGTGATAGCATGAAGAGAGCTAGTTTGACCTGTTTGTGTAGGGACAGGCTACAAACAATGTGTCTGCAGGACATCCATACCCCTGAGCTATATTGTCTCTCTTAAGTCTTTATCTTTATACTGTGACCAGTGTTGCCCACTGGGACACATGACTCCCTCCTGCTTTTCATCATTCCTCTTTTCTCCCTCCCTCCAGCACGTGACCTGCCTTGTTTAACGTGGCTTGTTGGGCTTGTGACCCCCTGTGACCCTTACTGAGAAGTAAAATATTAAGATCAAGCCTTAACAATTTCTACTTAATAGATACTTTTAATCTCTGCTGTTACATTAAATGTCTGTGCCTTGAGGGAAAGTTGCCCTGAAGCTACGCACTTCAGGCGACTAATGCAAATTAAAAAGCACAGCCTACAAAACTGCACACAGTAACCTAAAATGGGGAGGCTGGCCTAAAATCCTAAAGAGGATGTTGTCGAGTGCTTTTCAAAATCCACTCGTTTTGTCAGCATGGTGGTGGCACCTTCTGAACTCCAAACAGGACCGCTCTCAAATGGGTTTCCTTCCTCTACAGCTAACCCTAACTGTGGGTGGAGAGGTGGGAGCAGGGGCGGGAGGGACCTTCAGAGATTCCCCTGTGCGTTGGACTTGAAAGTTTCTGTCTCTGTGAACTTAACATCAAACGGTCATGGGCTGCTGCTGGCTCTTTGAAGTGGCAGAGGGTGGGGAGGGGTATCAGAGCTGAATACAGGTCTCTGCCTCGACATGTTCCGGTTCAAAACGGACTGTGCCGCAGTGTAAAAACAGCTCCGCTAAAGGTCTTCTGAGAGTGGCACAAGATCAAGGCTAAGGCCTTATCTCTCAGTCGCCATTCCTGTCACATATAAAGGATCTATAGGCGCACTATAGTGTCAGTTATTAAAGTTCCTATCTCCAAAGCTCATATTAGTGGGTTTTTTTTTAAAAGTCAGCTTTGCTTTGACGTCTTACAGGCCTAAAATGTCAATAAAAAAGGACACACTCAACTACTCACACAACTACTTCTGCTGCTACTATAATACTGCTAAAGCTAGCATTACTACTGCTGCTATCACAAATACATCAGTTGGCTACTGTAAGTAAAATGTCAGTACGAAAGTAGATTTTTAGTGAAGTAACATACTTCAGCATACTTAAAAACAGGAACTCTGTGGCACTATTTGCAGTAAATGTCCAATAAGCAATAAAGGGTGTTGGTGACTTCACTTCCAAATGTAATTCTGTCCACTCATCCTTCTACTTTCATACAGCTCGCCCTTTAATGTTATATTTATTTTTCATTTACTTTCATTTTCTGTTCAGTAACTGTGTTACTGCATCACTTTATTTAATGGAGACTAGTCTGGATAGTAATATGCCACACCTAATGTATCATATCAATAAAACATCAAACAAGCCTTTTTAAGTTACATGATTATACTGACTCATTATTATATTGTACATTTTAATGCAAGTTTTTATAAACATTTTAAACCAACTTTTGAGCAACTTTTAAACATTAAGAATTGCCTACTTTAAGTAAAATACACTATCTGTACTAATACTACCAATGCTAAAATGCTGCTGTAACTGCTTGTACCAGCTCTACTATTGCTTCCACGATGCTAACGCCATCACTACATTGTCCTTACTAATAGACAGAAAACTAACACATTCAGACTGTGTATAAAACAGCTGATAAACTGTGTAACTTTAATGTGGCGATGACATGTGAATGTATTCTTTTACTCTGTATAGGTACAACAGAGAGTCGGCTGCTGACGGGCACAGGGACCACGCGGACTCCTCAGACAGAGGGGGGGCCGGGCTCTCAGTTTTCCCATGCGCCACCATCTACTGACATTGGCCACTGCTCCACATTAAACACCCCGCATTCATAAAAAAGAAAAGAGGAACCATCTGACAAGAGCAGCATCCACCGGTAGCTGCCTCACTGTTTACTGCGCTCAGCACGTCGCCAGAACTGCAGACACACTAACTAAGAAGGGGGGAAAAATGGCCAAAAGTGAGAGGCAAAGAAGAAGTTTGAAGAGTGAGGAGTTCTTTTTTGATTCCGAGGCGTCTCTCTTGGATCAGCAAGATTTCGAGATGTCTAGTTGCCCTTTCAATGACGTCTTCAACTCCAAAGACTCCCACATGGAGCAGATCAACACTTTTCTGAAAAATGTACAAGTTTTGCTGGAGGCTGCTCGGTTTCTTGAGAGCGCCGAGAGGAAAGACGGAAGTGAGTTTATTTGTGCTGCGTTTGATCCTTTTCATTTGCCTCTGAATTTCAGGGAAAACAACACTTCATTGTCAACAGACTCAGACAACAAAGGGCTGAGTTCATTCAACTAAGCACCACTGCCTGCTATGAGCACAGCCTGTGCCTGCACCAGACTAATATGAGTGATATACTCATTGCAGTTATAGGAGAGTAAACATAAACGCTTTCATTATTTTCTGGACTGTTATTTACCTGCATTATCTGCATGCCGGGGGACTGTGCGTCGCTTTGCGCCTGCACAACTCCCAATCCAACAATCTGTAATGTTTCCCTTCAGCATAGATAAAGCAATATGTAGGTATGTGGGTGTGCGTGTTGGCTACCACTCCGATATGATAAATCTGACCACATTGCAGCGCCCTCCAACTCAGTTTAGGATGATGTCATTGTGCCCCCGCAGACTCGATCGAAAAAACAAAAAAAAAACTTTATAGATAAGACGCAGAGGACACAACTGAATAGTGACTCGGGTATTTATGGAACATAGAAATGTCTGGCCTGGTTGTTAATTTTGCTTGTTTATAAATGTCTAGCCTATGAGGAATTAACTCGATGGATGTAGGGTTGATTGCAGATGTCATGCTCTTACAAATTGCAGATAGACCTATGTGTAATTTAATGGCAGGATCCTTTTTATTAAATGTAATAATCAATCGTTTTTTTTATTTTAACGACTCATTATTTAGACAGTGGGAAATAAGGTGTTTTGCTTCAGTGTGGGTCGGTCCGCGCATGGCTGTTTTGTGCAGAAAAGCGTAGCATATGGTCTGATGCGCGTTGCAAAACTCCTCTGAGTAATATATATCACTTATTATAATGTAACGTGGGAATTTCGTAGCAGCGGATCGCAGCAGCACAGCTCCTCTCTCTCGATTGTTTGCTTCCTGCTATTTGTGGGCGTGCCGCACTGATTTCCACATGGCGCCAAGCTCCTCTGCGGTTGGTCAGGAGCGAGCTCAACCCTCGACGCCTGTCAACGCCGTCCGCCAATCAGAGGCCCGCTAGGCGGTGACGTCATGTGTTGCTGGGCCTGGCTTCAGCCGACAAGAACACCCCTATCGTCCTGTTGAATCATGGGATTTGTAGGGGGGGTTTTTTTGCGGAGAGAAATGGCCTGGGTAGAATGACTGTAAGAGGAATAAATGACATCCAGGGAGTAGTTGTGTTTAGTCAGTAACATATCAGATAACCAACATTAATGATTGATGGCCAAAATGTAGACCAAAAATGAAGACTGGCTTTTTCATTTAGCAAAAAACAGACCTATGGACAATTCTCATGTGGTATTAGAGGCCTGGGATGTAAAATAATAGTGACTATTTAATTATTGTCATTTATTCCCGCATTATTTTTCTTCATTGTAGCAAGAATAAGCAAGAATAATAATCACCGCGTTATCTTTAATTTCTGTTGACCTGCGCACTGTAGCCCTCTGCGACCTGCGGTAATTACAAGTAAATCCTTCAGTAATAACGAACGGCGTTTTACCTGACAAATCACAGTAAAGGCAGGCTAAATAGTGAAATTACCGCTAATGAACACTGGGCATATTTTAAAGTATTTCATGTATGTAACGGAAGACTCGGTTTCCCAGAATGCAGCGCGCTTAGACCGGCCTCTCCTCCACTAGGTCCCCGCCTCTCAGCTGTGCAGCTAGGTAAACAAACAGGAGAGGAGAGGAAACGAGCAGCAGCAGGCACTTTGCTGGCTCTGGGCTCCCTCGGGGACATTTTATATTGTTTGTATCCACTTTTTGTAAATCATTTAATATCGTGTTTCCTACGTACTTTTACTACTTTGATACACAATAGCGAAACCTGACAAGGACTGGCTGTAGCTTGCCAGCTTGGAAACACTGGATATTTCCCCCCTCTCTCTCCTCTCGGCAAAGGCTGCCGATGGGCCAGCGAAAACACTGAACAACATAATAACACGACGTTTTTTAAAGAAGTATAATTCAGTGTAGTAATAACCGATGCACTGTCTTCCCGGTATTTAAAAGCGACCTTCCGTTGGTGCTGTTTGCGAGGCTAACGTTCACACGGACCGAGCACAGCTAACGTTAACGGCAGCCGGCCTCAGGGAAGAATGACGGCTGTTCAGCTGATAAATATCCAACGGTTACTGGAAGCTGCGGAATATCTAGAGAGGAGAGAAAGAGGTAATTCTGTGTTCAAACATGTGTGGAGCTGAGAAATACGTATTTATCAACAACAAAAACAACAAACAAACAGTGCTAGCATCCGCTTTTTAAAAGGGGTAACGGCTGTTTTTACAGTAAACACCAAAAAAAAAAAAAGGAAGTGTTGTCAGCAAATGTTGTGTGGTGTAATCTGGAGACGGTCACAAACGTGTTAGCGGTTACATGTTCAAGTTAAAACTAAAGTATTGTGGCATATTGGTTGAACACGGGGGGTCCTAACGCGGCTAGCTAACTGTTAACCACACATTGTTTTCTCTCCACAGAGTGTGAACACGGATATGCTTCGACGTTTCCATCAAATCAGAACACAAACTTCCAGAGGCAAAGAAAATTCCGAAATAAGAAGTTCAACAGTAACCACAATAGGTAAGAGACACGCTCCTCTTGCACGGTGTGGACCCTGTCAGCGCTGGCAGTATATTTGCTGTTACAGATAGATGCTGTCTTTGAGCTACGTGTGTGATGTAGTGGGGTGATGTTAGCTGCAGACAGCATGTGATTAACGTTATACACCCGCTGCCAGCGCTTTATTGCAAAGGTTGGTAAACAAGCGAGCTGTCGCGCAAAGGCTGAACGCATGTTGCTGGCAGAAATACCACGATTCAGAAAAACACACTTTCAAAAAAGGAGCGAGAGAGGGGGGGGTTTGCATGGATCTTTTCTGAAAGTTGTAGGAACGTCTTTAGTACATAGGTGCACGTATGACCTTTTCACACCGCTGTTTGGTTGGCCTGGGGGAGGGTTTAGCACCAGCTCTGCTAGCTTTTCATCAGCTGATTGTCAAACGGACTGCAGTGGCTGAGGTTAGGGACCGTGGTCAAAGTGACGGCTTAGAAACGAAAAATAAGTCATTCGTAATGTTGTGAATTCCTCTCACCCTTGGTCAAATAAACGTCCGGGCTTCTGCTTAAGTTTAAAATTGACTTGTGCTTGTAGGTTTTGGTGCTGTTCGAGCTAAGTTTTTTCACATGTCGAATATATTCTGCGCTGTGGGAGAGAGCGGTAGTTTTGTCTTTTGCCCTAAAGGGGGAAAAGCTGCTATTTATGGCCGGTGTTGTTTGCAGACATCCAAAGGTGAATACGTGGAGCCTTTTTCAGGACTAACGACGTTTAGGGTAGTCATTTTCTGTTTCACCTAACATACAACTATATTCTAAAAAGAAAAGCATGTATGCACTATTCATGTGTCTTCCTCTTTTTGTACGCCCCATCAAGCATACACAATACACACCAAGCTGTTGTTGTGTGTTGTGGAACATATGTTTAATAGTGTTTTCTGTTGTGTAGCAAGATGCAACACTGTCTAATAATCACTCCATTAGCTGCCACAAAGATTAAAGCTCCTGTCAAACATAGTGCTTTCACTGATGACAGATATGTGCATTTAATACTAGGAGAAGCAGGCGTGAATCTCCCAAGTTAAGACTCATGTCATTGTGTTTTTTCCTGGTGCTAGGCTGCTTACATTAATCTGTCCATTGACAGTCATACATCAAACGCGAGCCCCACTCTCTCTTTCTCTCTCTCTCTCTCTGAGGCTTTTTAATATTAATGTAAGAGCGGGCCACAAACAGGAACTGCGCATTACTCATCATGAGCGCAGAACGCTGCCTGTTCTGCATGGCAACAGTCCTGATCATATATAGGTCTGAGGCTATATTCATAAAGCGTCCTAAGAGTTGGTGGTAACAAGGACATTCTACATAGAATAATAATTTTTGGGAACAATAGCATCTTCAATGTAAAACAAAATCTTCATAAAAACCAAAAGCTTTTCACTGCGCATCTTGGCTCTTCACGCAGCTCCTAATGTGAACAACTCTTTAGGAACAGGAGGGTGCACTTTTAGAAAGGCCTTCATAAGCATGAGAGAAAGAAGAATGTTGTTTGGTCCTGCTCTCTACAGAGACGTGTTCACAACTCACTCAGGTGGTAACACCATTTAGCATTTAACACCACTTTTCAGCCTCATGTTGTGATGCAGTTTATTTTATTTCCACTGGAACGGCACCCCTTGCAAACCAACAAAACTGATGTGGCACACGTCTGCGTCATTAGTGGTGTATTTTTATTAAACAATCCTTTTCACGGCCTGCTGACTTAAGTGAGGAATCTTACTAGTTAGTCAAAGTTGTGAGCCATTTTCATCACCTCACAATGTCCTTGCAAGATTACAATGTCCACAGAAGTAAAGGCAACATGCATCAGCCAGAGAGGTTTGAACAAACCTACAAGGCACGTCTATATCATCTTCTGCGTGTGTGTGTTATGAATGATAAAAAGAGATGAGGATTTATGATTGACCAATGATGGTGTCTAAATGGACCTACACATTTTCAGCCAAATACATGTTCTTGTTTATTCATCAGTTATAATCACTGTGAGGATACTAAATTAATGTTAAACTTGGTTCTTAAATATTATTAGAATATACTGATTATAATAACTAACAGTGCCTTTTCTTTAAACACAGTTTGCTGTTTGGCACTAGGTTGCTCCAGCTGCAGCTCCTGACACGGTAGCGTGTTGAGGCTTAAAGTGATGGGCTTATCTGACTCTGTCCTCTCTTGCCTACCGTTTATAGCAGGGTTGCTTTATCTCCTTGACCCACTGTGTGTGTGCATATACATGCATATACATGCACACAAGTATACACACATGCGTGCATGCCTACAGAAGGAAGTACACTGCAGTTGTGTGTGTGTGTGTGTGTGTGTGTGTGTGTGTGTGTGTGTGTGTGTGTGTGTGTGTGTGTGTGTGTGTGTGTGTGTGTGTGGCCTTGAGCCAGTTTATAATCTGTATTGCGTTGTTGTTGAGCTCCAGACATGCAGATATCTGATTCAGGAGGCAGGGAACGAGGTTTGTGATGATAAAAGCTTATGGGAAAGCAAGCTGACTTGGATTGATCTCTCTGAATGAGAGGCTATGCTAAGATGTAGTGTGTGTGTTGCTTAATTATGTGGGGCTTGGACCAGGACTGACCTAAGGCCTCTCTCTTTTTCAGAGTAACAGACAGTGTAAGTGACATCAGCATTGCCAAAGTTATTTCTCTATGCAAAAAATAATCGGTTATTGGTTTCACATAACTTTGTTCATCACCCTCTCTGATATCACCAGCTTTTCAAACTTGGATATTTTTGTTTCCTTAATCAAACTCTGTCCTTTGATTTTCATTTTGCAAAACACTTTTTACACAATTTTAATAGTTTCCTAAAATAAATTTTTCATCATTGTTCGAGTGTGTAAGAATCAGCCATTTATCAAGTCATTATTACACACCGAAATTGGGATGAGGGTTTCCAAGCAACACAGACACAGAGCGAGCACAGTGACAGTAGTGACGCAAATTATGCACTCCAATGTATTCATCTTCTGTTAGCAAAACTATTGCTCTGAGTCACAAACAGTTACAGAAATCAGTGGACCCACTGTCATTAGAAAGTAATTATATATGTAAATAAAAGTCTGCATTGATCACAAGCCTGTGACCACTCATTTCCCTTTAAAGAAATCATTCTGGAACTGTAAGCCAGTTTAAAGATGACGTTTATGTGGGTAGTAGTAGTCAAACAGAAGAGATCAAGCTGGTTAAGATGTATCAGTTTTGTGATTTTTTTTTAATTATGTGTGACTAGTTGGCTGTTGCAGAGCACAGCCATGCATGCACTACTACAGAGTTGTAGAATTTGTAAGTTGAAACCTGTCAAAATAACACACGTGTGAGCACTTAGGCCCTCACAGGTTTTCAGGAAATGGCCCAGACCACCTTACTTGTGAACCCCATGTTTTGCTGTGATAGCAACCACTAAACCTGGCCATAGACCATGTCATGTTAAATCAAATATACTGCCACAGTTGACTTAATGTCCAGTCTTGCATACCTAACTACATGAACAGTAATGTATTCAAATAGAGACATATGGTGTTTTTATTGGAGTAAATAATTAAACTTTCCTCTGAGGCAGGGCCAAAACTGAACCACAGCCTTGGACAGTCGTACGTTCCCTCTGTCTTATCCCTCTCTACTTCCTTCCTCGGCCCATTCTTATCTCCTGTTTTCTCCATATTTCCATATTTCCTGCTTCCGTTTTAACAAGATGGCAGTTTTGTCAGCTGACTACTGAGTATGAGCTTAGTATTAAAATAAAAGGAAACAAGAAAAGCAGAAAAGCATATTGCAGTATTGATAACACATAATATAGAGAAGTGCTGTATACATGACTCAAGAGAGCTTGAGTCCATCACACCCCACCCCCTCCCAAAAAAGAAAGAAGCCAGTGCCCCTTGAGACAAGGTGGAGTGCAGTTTGTGTGGATGGGAACCCGGCCATTTAAGAATCAGGAGGAGGGCTTGTCTCCCTTCAGTATGTTGCCACACAAAGAGACTCTTAGGAACCAGCTGATTCACTTTACATTATTAACAGAGCACTGAACCCTGACTGCTGCATGCACAGGGCATGTGTGTATGTGTGTGTGCATGCTCACACTTGCCCAGTAGCACATGCACACACACCCATGCAAACTCATGCACACTCATGCACATTATGAACTTTAGTGAGTAGTGGCTGCAGTGTCACTCACACACGCACACACACACACCCACACATCCTCCCAGAGTTGAGCTGTGCATTATTGAGGAAAGAGGCTGTATAATGCCACAGGGAATGCCCGGCCACCACGATGATGTTTGTTAGTGTAAAGGCTTCAGTGCACTGGACCTAGAGATGGCCTTGTTTGAGATTCATTAATAAATTCATGAATAAAATTCGACAAGGTAATTCACTGTGCCTCTGTTGGCCCTGTTTGTGAAGCTCGTACCTTACACCTTATTTCCCTGAAAATAATGCATTGCCTTTTTAGGAGAAGCAGATATTCGCTTATTGAGTATGCAAAAGTCTAAATTTGCTCTTCCTTTGACAACTTCTGTTTTTCTGTCTCTGCAGGTCCACACATAATGAGCTGGAGAAGAATAGGTAAGTTGGCATTCCGTTTTTTCAAAACATTTCACCATGAAATCATAAGCCTGCATAACATAACAGAACAGCCTGCAAGCTTATGCACACCCTGCCCTGACTTGTGAACTAGTCCATCATAGCCGTCTTGCATTTTGTCCCCAGTTTTTGCCTCTCTTCAAGTAGCACTTCCTCTTCAAGAGGTCCTTAAAACCAAAAGTAAGGGGTGACCCAGTTGTGTTCAGTGAAGAACATTTCCTCTTCTCTTTTTGCGCCTCCCTGTTTCCCCCTCTCCATACACACATTTTGCACCTAGAGTTATGCAGGCAACAGTTTGGTTGCCGGGGAAAAGGGCTTTCAGTCACATGGGCCGCCAGGGGTGTATGCAGGTAGAGCTGGAACTGAAGTCAAACGTTCAGCACTCGTTTTGATCCAAAGATGTTTTTGATTGGTATGTAGTAGTTAGGGCTGGCGATAAATCAATTTTATCGATTAATTCGAATTTGTATTTAAACATGATTTATTTTTAGTTAAAATAGTTTTTTTCTTGAACTTCCACAACACCGGCGCTCCCTTTGGGCTCCCGTAGGTCAGAGTGCGCTGACCCCTCCCCCCGCCTCTCCACAGATAAACACAACATGGCAGCAAGCCAGGATGAGCTTGTCCCCAAAAAAGGCAGAGTATCGTCGGTTGTTTGGAAATGGTTTGGTTTTGTGGCGTCCGACAGCGAACAAACCACGACCCACTGCAAAGTTTGTTTGAAAGCTGTTGCAACCAGCAGTACGACAAATTTATTCCAGCACCTCAAGCAGAGGCATGCAGCCGAGGGGGAGAAATGTTGCTCCCTGCGAGATATACAGGACCACAGCCCACAAACACCCGCTAAAAAACAGAAAAAAACCAATTAAAATCGTAAATCGGGTTTGGTGTGAAAAAATCGGAGATTTTATTTTTAAGCCATATCGCCCAGCCCTAGTAGTAGTGTCAACAAAGTTAGCCCTATAGCTGAACAAAATGTCCTTTCAGTGTCTTTGTAGCCTGAGTTATATCTCTGCATTCATGATAGTATCTACAGTGGAAGAAATGAGAGGTATTCAGGGAGACCTTGGCTTGTGATGGTTTACCACACCGTCTTCTGAAGACAGTGAAGACTGGTTTCTTAGAAGCCCTTATCTGATTGAGTTTGCCACCCACATAGGGTGCTTGCTGGTGTTTATGCTCTGTGACTTTGCAGACTGCTAGAGTCAAACTGTAAAGGGTTTTCTTCAACACCATAAATAAGAGTGGCTAGGCTTGTAGGATTTATGGTAAATAGAAAAAAAACGAGCCTTCCATTTCATTATCTCTGAGGGTGTGGGTACAATGAAAGGATGTGGGAGGCTGGATCCATTCAGTGTAATTACATATCACCTCGGCCTGTTTTTCTCGCCATTCTCCCTGGCAGCCTCTTCTAAAAGGATGGGAACATTGGAAGGAGAGGAGTCCAGTGAGTTAAATATAGACAAGAGTTGATGTGTCATCTCGGTGCTCATATGCGATGCCACACAAGGCTGGCCGGTCGGCCGACTGGCCTCGGCAGATTGCGGCACCCATGCAGGGTTGCATTTTTCCACCCACACAAATACATTTCAAAAAAAGGTGTTGTTTTCATCACTCCTTCCACATTCTTGCAGCCAGCCACTTGTAGTATGGACTCGTCCTATGGCCAATTATGGTCTATAGTCATCTCTGGTAATCAGAGTAGACTAGTGCAAAGCCTGTTGACAGCAAAAACACAAGGATCAGTACCGCCATGGTTCTACTTGGTGGCATGGCACAGAGTTATGGTTACTACAGAGTTAGGAACCATTAGAGAGATACTTTAATTAAGGGAAATTAAACTCCATGCATAATAAAACTGATGTAGCCAGATTTAAAAATAGACTGCAAAGGTGATTTACCCCCTCATTTGTGTATTTGACAATATTAGATTCGCCTCAGTGTGTTTTCATTCCCATCACGAGTACAACATCCACTGAAACTTGCATCTTCTGCCTCTTCCTTTTCCTGGCACAGCGTGTCGGTATCTGGATTTGGGAACAGGCCGGGAACAGGCCGTCCTGTACCACACCACTGTACCAAATCCAGATACCGACACCCTGTTTTTTCCCCACTTCTTGTCTTTTTCAGCTCGACACAGTGTGCATGGTGCTGTTGTTTAGTAGTTGGCCAGTACATGGCTAATTCGAATTTCCATTAGCAAAGAAAGAGGGGAAAATTGAAATGGTAATCCATCTTTTTAGAAGCACTCTTAAAGTCGGAAACGTTTATAATCCCCCTTTTTTTGCCAGCAGTTAATCCAATTCCCTTTAAGCACATGTCTCACTGTAAGCTATATGTATCAGGCATAGTTGTTCACCCAAGTGTGTCAGGCTTATACCGTGATTCTACAACAGCAGCAGCTTTCGTTCCATCTCAGCAGACTTCCAAGTCTTGTAAATTGGAGGCAGCTCCCTTATGGTCCAGCCTGACTGGGGCCCTTTTTCAAGACTTATCAACCCTGTTTATCAGCTGCTGGCGAGACGATTTGCCTTGCATGGCTACCACAGGTCTTGATAACCTCTGTGACAAGTAGACTCGTTGTGACAGTGGAGACCACAGGACGCTGATAAAAGGGGCCAAAAGAGAGGTAAAAAACCCACATTCCAGATGCTCACACTGTGTGTCGGGACCAGATAATGTGGTGGCTCTGCTGCTTTGATCATGTACATCCATAACAGCCCTATTTCACTTCGACATGTCACTACTAAATCACACTGCCTTAGTAGGGTTTAACAGTAAAAAAAAAAGGCTTGTATGCCAGCATGTTGCCGTTTCCACCACTTTGATCTCACAGGCTACCGCCTATTTGACTTTTTTCTTTTAAATATGTTGATAAAAAATTCCCCAGCTCAGGTTAGTTGTTGGGTGATCCTTGTTTGTTATGGTGTTTTACAGTATGCGACTAAAGTATTCCATGGCTCAGAGTTTAATCAGTTGTTATTCAACCAGTTGTTTTTTCTTCCCTTTGGATGATGACTCTGTTTATGGATAATCAATACAGCAGGCTTTTACCTGCTACAATAAATCCTCAAGAACCGTCGCTTATCATTTACCCCCCTCCACTGCGACCTATTCATTTTGAAATTGTTTATCATGGCCAGGCTTATAATACACACAGAAAATATTTTTTCCCCCAGTGCCCAGGCAGTGGAAGCAATATTAGCTTTTCTGCTTGATTCTTTATGCGGGGAGTAAACAGTGTGTGTTAAACACCTTTCAGCGGGTGCCTGTAGAATATTAAAAAGGCTCGGTCTTGCCCATTAGACTCGGAAGCCTGATGTCCTTGGGTGGCATGTAAGGAGCATCCGTGAAGTGCCTTCACAGGATTTGTTTTGGCTCAGTGGTATGTGAAATGGTAAATGAAGAGTCTTGCCTCATATGCAACAAACTTTGGATAGTCTGGGTGTTCTCAGCTGTCAAGGTTTTTATTTTTATTTGTGTGTGTGTTGTGTGTGTGTGTGTGTGTGTGTGTGTGTGTGTGTGTGTGTGACAGACAGATAGATAGAGAAGGTTTCTATCTCTGTCTCTTGTTGCAATGTATATTGTCAGGATATATGGTCAGATTTCAGAGCTCACGCCTCTTACTTAACTTCAAAATATCTATTGAATGTAACTGTTACAACTAACAGGCCTTGTGTAGATTGTAGTTTTATGTATCTGTTGGGATTGAAGCCCTTCATGTATTTCCATTCTTTCTAACCAGTGGTCTATGAACTCGGTACTGTTGTTCCAGCCTTGGGGTTGGATGAGCAGTCAAACATAAATAAGCCTGGGTACATTTTCTCTGGCTGTGCTGATGCTCCACGAAGAAAACCAAACTGCTTCACCAGTCTTTCTGTTGTCTTCCCAGTGAGTGCAACCTATTCTCAGGCTTTGCCGCAGGGCCTAAAACTGGGACCATTTGTTCTGACCAACGTGACGACTTGTAAGCTTTTCTTGGCTCAGAAAAGCAGCTTAAGGGACGTGATCTTTGGTCTGGTGAGCCCAGCAAGAGCATGCACACGTGCCCCCTCCCCCCCCCCATCCCCATCCCCTCCTCTGCAGGCCACCCGGTGCTAGTCCTTAATAGCCTAGCTTGACTTTGGCTTAGCTAACGACAGTGTCACAGGACAAGGAAGTAATTGACAGGCTGATGGGATAAATAAAGGGATAGGTCAAACACACCTGACTAAGGGAAGCCTTGAGCAGCACGCAAGCCTGATCCTCACTCCCACTGTGTCAGTGTGTGCACAGTGAGCATTTCCGCCCTGTAATTAACACAGTGAGACATGAGCCGGTATCGGGGTGGGACCAGCCACCACAAACAGTCAGATGGTGACAAATTGTGGCCGTGGCTACAATTTTGCCTCCTCTACCAACCAGTATGACAGGTGCCCAGCTGCAATGAGGTCATATTCTGTGTAATGTTAAAGCTAAGTTGCCTAAGATGGTAAAAAGTACCTTGTTTAAGCAGTGTACAACAGGAAAGCACCTACTCACTGCAGCAAATACATTTTCACTAGTGCCATGTGGGTGTGTAGCTCTGAGTTGAGGATGAAGAGGAGTGAGTTCTCCTTTATTGATTTACCTTTCAATCACACCTGGGCACTGGGTTGCCAGGTTTCTGAACGTAGAAGGATTTCGTGGACTGTCCCTCTTAGGGGGGCAGTCATATACCTTTTAAGAGAGGCACTTGCTTCAAGAGATCAAGAAATTGAAAATCCATAGGCCTGAAGAGAAGTATTGTATATCAAATAGACCAAGTTTTCTAACTTCCTGATAAGCCCAATTGGGGAAAAAAGCACAAGTGACAAAGGAGACAAAGCACTGCTAAAGGATGAAAGAAAGTAAGAAAGAGCAGACCTTTTGCAATGTTGCAAAGCATCCCATAATATAAGCAACACTTTCTGTAGCTGCTTTTTGCAGTGAAAACATCTCTCATTTATCTACAACCAGCTAAT